TCCTCACACTCTTAACTCCAAACTCTCTAACTCTGCTATATTCAACAAAACATTTAAAGGAACACAACCAATTAACTGAAATCATTACACAGGGTGTGATTCACACTTAACAGCAGCCTTCAGGTTAGCCCCACATAACCACACAGGAAATACTATGACTACCCTCGTCGCCATTACTGTGACATCACGACTTGGTGTTCAGGCTTTCCATATATAGGAGGTGGTGGCAGTTCCCTCCCTTATGCACTAACAGAACAGGTAGTCACAAGAGTGCATGTCGTACAGGAATTCCAGATTAAGCCTCACAAATTAGTGATTTTCTGGTATTACAAGTAGGGATCCCAGCCCCCCGGTCTGGGCAGGGGATCCCCCGATTTAGAGCAGTGGAATCCCACCACAAAATGACGCAGCCCAAAAAATTGGAACCACCCCCAAAGTCTCCAGGTATTTTCCAACCCAGACGTGGCAACCCTAGATCAAAGCCAAATTGCCTGGCTACTGCTGCAGCAATTGGAAGAACACACTGGAGGTTCTGAAAGTGTTCCTTTTACCCAGGAAGGCATCAAAACCGATGAGAAGAACCACCCATCCTGAACAAGTGATTTCTCTCAATCAAGATGTTCTCCCCCTTTGAGTTAGAAAACACACCATTTTTTGTAGTAGAGAAAAGTTGTTACAAATTGTGTGTGTCACGTACCATCAAGTTGCTTCTGACTTATGGTGACCCTAGTAATTAATGGCTATGAGTTAATTACCAAAAATTAAACAGCAGCAGCATACCCTGGCTGGTATACTAAATAATACATTACACAGAGCAACTGCAGATATTTGTCATACTCCAAGAAAGTGGGCACGAGAAAAAGAAATTATATTTTATTGAAATCTTATCATGTAGCTACACGTGCTGTTAAGCAAATAATCAGTGAATCTTTTAAAGACATTCACACAAAGAACAAAATAGTTGTTGGCTAACTTCTCTGAAGTATTTCTCTAAACATTTTCTGAATGTTCATGCTGCACTGCAAACTTGCACGAACATCTCTACAAGGCAGATACTGCCTGCAAATGCCTCAAATGAACCAAGAACAAATTTGCCTGGTTATGAAACTGAGGTTGTTTTACATTAACAGTGGAAGTTACCTTAGCCTAAGTAGCAATGATAGCAAACTTAGACTATTAGCTGATCTTTCCCACTGTAGTGCTTACATGTGGTTTGTTTTTGTCGTTTTTGTGCAAACCTGTTAAGCTGCTGATCCTATTATATTCCTGAATGGCTCTTTCATATATTTGATCACACGGTATAAGCAAGACCACTGCATGACTTGGCAGATATTCACAAGACCTTTCTCACATGGAAATCTTAGAAGGCAGTTGTTTGTCCCCTGGAGAGCTCCATTAAGGGCTTGCCCTTGCCCATCCTCCTGCTCACAGTGCGCATGAAGACTTGGGCTACATCGGGGTCCCCAGGGTGCTTACCAACACCTTTTCTGGCACCCGCCAAGTGTTTGTAGGAAGTGGGCAGTGCTAAGTAGGGATTTTGCCCAGCAAGGCTTCTGATTGGCTGTGCTTTTTTTTAAATGTTGCTTTGGCAACAGGCTTCACCTCCTGCAGCAGCCATTTTTCACTGCACGTACCATGCAGTGTCGGAAATCCAAAGGGGCCTGCGCAAGCTCAAAAAGGTTGTTGGCCCCTGGGCTAGGTGAAGATCAGCAACTACATGTCTTTGTATGTGGTCACCTGTTTAGTCTAGAGATGTAAAATTTCCAGAAATTTCGAAGCCACAAAAAAGCCCCCCCCCCTTTTCTGGACAAAACTTGAATTATTGGGAAAAACTGAAATATACACAATACTTAATGTCCTATCAAACTTAAACTTTCCTTTCCCTAGATTTAACAGCCATTAGCTATTCATCTACAGTTTCCCACCAAAAAAAGTGAGAATGAAAATTAGTTCCCTCTTGACACTATAAATGGCCACATCTCACACCATTCGCCAGTCTAC